CCTCCTTGGATATGAATACCATCAATGTGATCAAGTAATCAATTCATTGTCCTTTAATGGATATGAAATCTCAAATCATCATTCTTGATATGGCAAGCTTTCCATATGAGACCAATCCATATATGCTATTACTCATGTATCATTTGCAATTTGCCAAACATGCTTGATTGCTTCTTTATTTGAGCAATACCTTGAGTTTGATACGATCATTTCTAATGAAACCTATTCATAGTCTCATCAAACTTTGTTTTGTCATTCAATCACCAAAACTCACTAGAGGGCCTAGATGCACTTTTAGATGTTATCACCAGATGCACACATGGGTCGGTATGGATCTAGAATGAACAATATTAAAAGTTTATGGACATATAAATCAAATTTTAGGCTTGACTGACATAATAAAAACCCTCATATAAGCTAATGTTGTCAATCAATTTAACTCCTAAATTGATAAGGCTGCCTAATAGATTGTGATTATATTCATCATATTACCTCCGATGCAAATAACAGAGCCACTTATTTGCTTGACCAATGAAAAATTTATAATGGACCTCCGATGCATTTAACTCCAAAATTGATAAGGCTACCCAAGAGAATGTGATTATATCCATATTGCTTATAGGTCTTGAAAATACTAGAGCCACATATTTGCATGACCAATTAACAATAATATCTAGGTTACTCGACATAGAAGATACTAAATAATTATATGCCAAAATTCTGCCATACACTATCATGCATTGTACCATCACACCATCCATATATATACCTCGCACACCTCATCCCTCAAACCTTGCACCATATCCAAATGGATGCTCATTCACCACCAAATCACCGTGCTGTTGTCAAGCGCGCCACTGCTCTAAAAGCCAACCTAACATTGTCATCCTTGAAGAATGATTTATGCCACACAACTTTATGCTACAACATCAAATTTCTAGGTTTTTTGTATGGTATTTGAAATCATGTAGAAGCCAGGTCAAAAACTAGCCAACCATCCTATACCATTGACATGATCTTACAATTCCAAATTAAGGTGTGCATTGCAAGTAAACTAGATGCATGATGTTCAATTCAAACCTTAGTTCAAATTCAAAAAGAATAAGCTAGTAACAATTTTTGTAATATAAAACAATGGTACATTAAGTAGTCACATTGTTTTTATATTTTCAAAATGCAAACATATAACTCAAAATTAACAAATAACTCATTCCAACCACTACACTCCTGAACCGCTTTGGTGGAGTACAAGCATGATTCATTTAGTCCATTAAAGACTATCAATTAGCTATAACATCCACACCCTTCAATAAAGCATTACTTTTATGGACACTACCTGTTGGGAATTTAACTTTGTCACAAAAACACAGCTGTAACACCAAAAAATTTGCACCATTTTAAAATAGGTGAATTGATTTAATTGTGTATCTTGTTGAGCATTTAAACTTACCAAAATAATAATTTTTATTAAGTTAAAAATAGATATAGGTCTACATACATGTTTATGCATACATGCTGTTGCATAGTATTTCTTTTGTATTGAGAGGTTTGAAACTAAACTTCAAATTGCTTCAAATGGATTTGAAAATGCATTTGAAAAACACTTGAGATAAAAAGAAAATGGAATTTCCTCTCCTCTCTTTCTTTGGGCCAGCCGGCCTACTCCCTTCCCCGCGGCCCGTTTCTCTTTTTCCCACGAAGCCTAGCAGCGCCGTCCCGTAGGCCCATCTCACGCCCCGGCCCAGGCCAAGCCGCGTCATAGGCCTATCTTCTCGGCCCAAGATGAAGCTGCCCGCGTTCTCCCTCTATCGCTGTGACTACTAGGCTGGCCCCGCTCGTCGGCACAGTTAGTCTTCCTCCCGTCACAGCGCCGGACACCGCACCGCCATCAAGTCCGCCTTCACCATGCGTGCGCTTGGCATGCGCCCCACGTCCCTGTGCCCTATATAAGCTGGCCTCTGCGTGCGCGCCACCCCTAGCTAACCATAGGGCCACTGCCCTAGCCCTAGCTCTGCGCCATCGCTGATTTGGATCTAGCCAAGGTGCCAAGCTCGCCCCCGCCATTGAAGCCTCTGCTCGCTGCCTTTCCATCTCCTTGAGCCCACTACCGTGTTTGGCACCGAGGTTTTGAAGCTTCAGAGCCCTTGTCTCCTCTTACCCTCGCTCTCGTGTGCTCACTTTTTGCCGTTGAACTGTTGCAGGGAGCCACCGTCTGCCCCGCCGTGCCCTGTGTCATCACCGAGCCGTCTGCGCCCAAGGGAAGTGTCTAGGTGAGTTCGTCGTCGCCTGCTAGACCTCCCCGTGTCTTCCCCATAGAGAATCGGGCGCTCTATGTCGTTTTCGCAAATCACCGGCGAGGAGCTCGGTTTTTCGGCCATGGCGCCGCCATCGGCTACAGCGTCGGCCACTCCTGTCGCCTCCCAAACATTCTCGGCCATCCATCTGGAGATATGTGGCCTAGATTAGAAGATACCCTTTTGCTGGTATTTTTATTAAAGAGCCCCTCGGCTTTTGGATATTTGCGCCCGCCGTCCTTGGTTGCTTTCAAAAGGACCCCGACGCTTTTCTATTATCGAACCCGCTATCCATTGCGTATTCAACAGATTATGCCTTCTTTTAAAAGTGTATTTTGTTTGGTTGACTTCAAAAATACATTTTTTGTTATTTACAATTTTGCCACTAGATTTATTTAGGCAATAACTTTGTCGTTTTAACTCCGATTTGATCCATTCAACTTGCGTTAGGTTCGTAATTCCATAATCTACATATTTATACTACTGTTAAGTATGTTTTCAACTTTTAAAATTTGAGGTTAGATTTAATCTATTCTTTTACTAACGGAAATCTTGTTTAATTCATAACTTGTTCTAACTCCGATTTGAGTGATTCTCGCGTCTCCGTGTTCGTAGCATTGCGTAGAATAGTTTTAAAACCTTTTTAACTTCTATTTCTACTATTTGGTGTATTGTTATAATTAGTCTATATTTGTTTGCTATGCATGTGTGTATGGATGCCTGTGTGGTGCTACTTAATCTCGAGTAGACAATGAGTTTTATGTTGGTGCTCTGGAGCAACTCTTTGAAGATCAAGAGCAGCAGCGATACATTGAATCAAGGCAAGTATAATATGAGGCTCCTTGTTACCTATTCACATTAATGCAATCTCAATTCATATGCATATGTTAATGAACCTCTTGAAGTCTATTTACCTTGACATTGATTATCATGTCCTTGATTTACCTATGGGTTTTGCATGTGGGTAGTATGCTCAGTTGGCTCCAACTAATATTGAGTAAAGAATACAATTAAAGATATATGCAATATGGTATTAAAAGATGCTTTTTAGCGACATGGAACCAAGGGGGCTAGAGCATTGGGCCTTTTTCTTATGGTGCTCTAGTTTCTCTCCATAAGGACTCATCTTTAAGTGACAACCCAGGACTTACAGTACAACCATGAGGATCACATGGGTCTGGTCTTAGTACAGTACCTTGCTCTTTCTATTTTGTAGCAGTTTACCGAAATGACAAGAGGGGCATACCAGGCTGGGTATGGGCCTCATCCCCAGGGTGTGTACTATGCTACGTGTATTAGTGCCACTTTTGGAGATGACTCCATAACACTTGGGAGTTGGAATCCTTAGCGGATGCTCCTTATTAGAACGACTGGGGAAAAGCTTTATAGTGTACCCTGCCTGCTCACCTTGGATGTGGTTTGGGAGTTATAAACCCGTGCATATGGGTAACATGACTCATGGTGAAAGTGTACAACCTATGCAGAGTGTAAAACTAGTATATCAGCCGTGCTCACGGACACAAGCGGCCTGGATCCTTACTGAATAGTTGGTTACTTAGATGATTTGGGTTATGATTAAAATTGCAGATATCTCTAATCATTCATAATCAGGAGCCTAAGCATAAGTTAGCAACTTATGATTAATAATAAAATATGACCAACTAAAAGTGCTTACCGTAGTTCAGTCGTGTCAAGCCTTTTGAGCCTGCATCACCTCATGCTATGCTTGCTAAGCGGTAGTAGCTTAAGCTTGTTTTATTTCAATACTTTGGCAAAATCTCGAATGTGTATGAGATGGAGGTTCTTTAGTGGAATTACGAGAGGTGTTAGACTTGTGATCAACTAATTGACGATTCCTGTGGTGTTGGAGGCTTCGCCGGAAGAATAGAGTTATAGTATATACTGTAAAGTAAGACTATGTCTTTTGTAACAAATACTTATGCGCTATGTAACAAAGGCATTGTCTTTGATATTACCCCTTCATTTATAACTATATGTGTGAATTGAATTCCTGGGCACACATATGGTGTGTATCTGGTTTTGTCCTTAAAACTAGGTGCTATAGCATTCCCAAACTTTGGAGTCAAATCTTTAAATTTCCATAACAATATTTGTTTGTAGGAAGAGGAAAGCGAAGACAACATTTTGACTTTGTAAGAAAAGGATCGACTTCGCTGAAATAGAAGCAAAGATCAAGATCAGGAGCGAAGACAAAATTTAGCTTCGCTGTCAGAAAATCAACTTCGCCGACCAAAGTTGTCAAAGAGAAGTAAAATAAGGCTAGACAAAGGCAAAAAATTCGACTTTGCTTAACATTCTGAAGGTCAAAGGAAAAATCGATTAAGTCCAAAATAAAATTGTCAAGAAGACCGGTCACTGAAAATTGAAGAATGAAGGCTTAGAAGGAGGAAATGACCACTTCGCCCTTGTAGTTGAAAAGGGCTATAAACATTTAAGTTGGGGGTAAAATAGTCATTTTATGTAAAATACAAAGACTAGAGCCCTATAAATATCCCTCTGACATGTATAGTACGATCATGAAATAAATACAACTTTGTCTTGTGTTCCAACTTTGATGCTTGAGTAATTTCTTACCCAACACTACCTCCTATTTGTTTAATCTACATTCCTTTGCTACAATTCTGCACAAATATTTACATACACATACTGTGATGCGCGGGCCTGACCGACACGGCACCTGGCGCACTACAGGATCTTTGTAATGGTAGAATTAAAAACTAAACTAATCATCCTCACCTCTTCATCACAAGCCAGTTGACTAAGAGTCTCCTGACCCATATGTTTATCACTTCCCCCAAACTTTTCAGAACTAGAAGGAGCAGTAGTCTTCCGTTTCTTCGAAGTTTTTTTAGCAAGCTGACCACCACCCCTCTTTTTCTTTGTAACATTTTCTATACTTGGTTTCTTAGTACGAGTATAAGCTGGTGCTAGCCTTTCATCATATTTGATCTGCGCAATGTCAAAAATCCTATTAAGACGCTTGTAATCCTTTCCTAGAATTATGTCCATCAAATCTTTCTCTTTCTTCAAGAACTTGCTAAGAATTTCAATGGCCTTAACTTCAACAGCGGAGACAAAATCTTCATCTTAGGAATATTTTTTTGGACAGAAAGCTTCACTGTCCAGAAACAAATATGTCTTTCACTTCACAACCTTCTCATAAAAATGAACAAAACCCCAACCCTTCTTCAAAGGTGAAATTCAAGCCGCAATATATTCTTCACTAAAATCACAAGCACTTTGCATACTGGCAGCCAACTTATAAACCTTTTCACAAGTTCTAGAATTCTTTGAAATTGGAAAATCAGGTTTACATTCAAAAATATTCTTACTCATCTTTGCAGCTAAAGGATATCGCTTTACAACTTTCCCTAAATCATCTCTTTCTTCAACAAGTGGAACTAAATGGTGAAATCAATATCGATACCAATTTTTAACCCACTTATTCTTTGAGGCAGGTGAAATCTGCTTAGCACCATGAGCAGGCTTAAAACTATAGCAACCAAAGTATTTGATAATAGTTTTACCATCCACCATCTTGTTTCTCAACTGAGTATGCATCTCATGAAGATTACAAAACGCTCCAATATCCAAGTTTGCTCTTTGAGATTTCAATGCCCAAACAAAGAGAGCAATCTTTGCTATCCCATTTGGAGTCAAATGATGCATCTCAATATTATATGCCTACAAAATTTCATCAACAAAATCTTGATAGGGTATGCGAAGACCAGCAGAAAATTGATCGTAGAAAACAACACACTCAAGCGGCTCGACTTAGGAGTTGTCTCACCATGTGGCAAACGAACAGAAGCCTTTTCCAACATTTTGTTAGTAACCAACCATTGCAATTCAGACTCATCCATCAAAGTTTTTTCCAAAAATTAAGGACTTTGTATCATCTCCGACTAATTCTGACTCAGATGCGGAGACATCCGATAAACCTTCTTCAGATCCGCAATGATTGGATTCAACTGGGGAACTTTTAGAAGCAATCTTCTCTTGTTCAGACATCTAGAAAAACAAAATATATCTGAAAAAGAGAGGAAAACAATACAAAGAAAAACAAAAAAAACACAAGAAATAACTTACTTTGAAACAACTCCAAACTTCCATGGAAAACTAAACTTCGCGGAAGGGTTTAACTTCACCAAAATTTTTGGCTTTGCTTCAAAAGAAAATGCAGCAGCACCTCCCCGTCTTTGATAAAGTGAAAAGAATAGGGGGGAGGGCACCATATATATAGGCTGCTTCGAGTCAAACTCAACGGTTCAATTTCCGCCAGTCAAACTCGGCCGTTATAGTTCAAAAAAGAAACTATTCATAGTCTAACGGCTATAAAAACGGCCAACTCCAAAGTTCAGGATGGCATTTTTGGTCTTCATTTTAAATTCAAACTTCATAGAATTCAGACCTTTGGAGTAGGCCTTCGTCCACGAGGGGCGGCTGTTGGGAATTTAACTTCATCACAAAAACGCAGCCCCAAACTTTGGAGTCAAATCTTTAAATTTCCATAACAATATTTCTTTGCAGGAAGAGGGAAGTAAAGACAACATTTTGACTTGGTAAGAAAAGGATCAACTTCACTAAAATAGAAGCAAAGATCAAGATCAAGAGCGAATACAAAAGTTTAGCTTCGTTGTCAGAAAATCAACTTTGCCGACCAAAGATGTCAAAGAGAAGTAAAGGCTAGACAAATGCAAAAATTCGACTTCGCTTAACATTCTGAAGGTCAAAGAAAAATCGATCAAGTCCAAAACAAAGATGTCAAGAAGACCGATGACTGAAAATTGAAGAATGAAGGCTTAGAAGGAGAAAATGACCACTTCACCCTTGTAGTTGAAGAGGGTTGTAAACATTTGAGTTGGGGTAAAATAGTCATTTTATGTAAAATACATAAACTGGAGCCCTATAAATACCCTCTCTAACATGTACAGTATGATCAAACTTTGTCTTGTGTTCAAACTTTGATGCTTGAGTAATTTCTTACCCAACATCTGGCGCCCACCATTTGTGTGTGCTCAAAAACAAAGTTTGATCACGCGAGACCCAAGCTCTTCAAAGGCAAGCGAAGCCGAAGAACAAAGACTCAAAGAATTAGAAGAACAAGTGCCGAGAAAGCAAAAAGAACTTGAAGAATGTCACGCGAGAGCATGTTTACACCAAAATTTGGGAGAAGAGCGCGGGAACTTGTAGGCTTCCAAGATTGTGCCAATCAAGGAGTCGATTGCATAAGGATTGATATTTGTCAGTTCAGATGCGACACTAGGATCGGTTCCCTTTAAACGACGTCAACAGATAACGATGATGAGATATGATTGGCATCGAGAAGATACATATCGGACTCTACAAAAGAGGAAAGATTAGAGTCCAAGTTATCTTAAAATAGGAATGATTTTCCATACCAAAGATTGTACTGAGTCGTACTCCAGTAGGACTCATTTTTAGGCTCCGGGTATAAATATCAAACACCGGCTATTGTAAAATAGACAATCAATCCAATACAAGTCATTTACTTTTTTTTAGCTCGGACCACCCCTTAGGAGTAGGAGTAGAGTAGATCTCAGTGAATTCTTCAGCGAGTATGGCTGCATCTATCCGGTCGACCTCCACTGCTTGTTTGTAAGTACCATCATGGCTTATACCTCTGTTCATACGGCTGCATCGATCCGATCGACCTCCACTACGACTCTGGTATAAGTTAGTTATCGACTCTTGTCTAGTTCAAGTAAGGCTGCATCGATCTGGTCGACCTCCACTGCTCAAACTAGATTAAGGTCAAGTTATCGGCTCTATCTAAGGGTGGCATTCCTTCGGATAGATTCATTAAGTTATCGATATTGCTTATTGCTTCTATTATTTATTTAATTACAGCAATATCACTTCGCCCGATTAGGATTGATCTAGATCAGCCTTATATCCTTTTTATTCCATCGTTTGTTAATCTAAATTTGAACTAATCTGGACTTTAAACGATGAGTTATGTTTTATCGGCTGTTTTATATCAATCTTGATCGTGCATAGCGTGCGGTTAAGGCGTGTCTGATCTTGAGTAGATCTATTGGCTAGCGAAAACCGTTTCATGGCCCATTATCATGGCCTGTGTGATTCTGCCTCACACCCCACTGTTAGCACCACGGAGTGAGGATCGTTATTCGGTAGATCTATTCCTGATAAGGCATGACCTTAACTGTGCGCTATGCCTGAATCGACTATTTTAACCGATATCGAGTGCTTTCACTAACAGTTCACGTCATGAGAACATTGAAGTAGCGATAGGTTGAAAGATGTGTTAGCCCCATGATCTTATTATTGTATTACAGCCTGCATGATTCTGCCTCATGCCCCACTGATATTAGTAATAAGTTCAGGTCATCGAGTCTATCGTTGTTTTTATGGCCTGCATGATTCTGCCTCATGCCCCACTGGTCACAGCGATAGATGAGATCTAATATGTTCATTAGATTTTTCTTTATTAAATGGTTGAATGATGATGATCTGTTTATTTTATATAAAAGGAGTTCGGTTACTTACGGTCATTGGCTTAGCATGAACTAATCATTGTTGACATCTTATTGCCATTGACCAATATTTGTCTAAGTAATGATATTCATCCTGATTCTTCTTACACAACCCCATTGAAGGGTCGAGATGGCGGACTAGAGGGGGGTGAATAGTCTTTTCTAAAATTAATCGCGTCGGCTAACCGATATAAATGTGGAATTAGAACAATCGGTCTAGCCAAGACTACACCCCTCTATATATGTTCACTAGCACCTTGCAAAGATACTAATAAAGCAACTAAGGTGCCGGGCTAGTTAGAGCTCTTCTAAACAATTTTAGGAGCAAGGTCACACAAACCTATGCTACTAGTACTTTAAGTAACAAGGGAGCTCCTACACATGCTAGTAAGGAAAAGCACAAAGCTAACTAAGCTCACTAGCAATGCTCAATAACAAGGCAACCAACGCCTAATTAGAGAGCGCAAATACTTAGCTACACGAACTAAGCAATGTGACTAACAAGGTTACTAAAACCAAATTAGCCACGCAAGGGAGCTACTTCTATGCTACACAAGCAAGAAGGTAATTAGCTAGCTACACAAGCTATCTAATTACAAGAGCAACTACACAAGCTTTAAGATATATATATAAGTAATTGCAAGCTTGTGTAATGGGGATGCAAACCAACGGGAAGAACAAGGTTGACACGATGATTTTTCTCCCGAGGTTCACATGTTTGCCAACACGCTAGTCCCCGTTGTGTCGACCGCTCACTTGGTGGTTCGGCGGCTAATTAGCATCACCCGCTAAGCCCGCACGTCGGGCACCGCAAGAACCTACCCCTTGAGTGAGGGTAGCTCAATGACACGCTTTACTAAAGTTGCTCTTCACGACTCCCGCGGGGTGAGCACAAGTACCCCTCACAAGCACATCTCCGGAGCGCCGCACAAGCTTCTTGTGGGCTTTGACGGAGACCACCACCAAGCCGTCTAGAAGGTGGCAACCTCCAAGAGTAACAAGCACCACTGGCTTGCAACACGACCACCTAGTGCCACTCGATGCAACCTCACGATGCAATCGCACTAGAATCGCTCACTCACACAATCGAATGATCACTATCAAGTATATGTGTGATGGAGGGCTCCCAAGCACTCACAAGCATGGACACTAAGTCCCTTGAGGTGCTCAGCACCAGCCATGGCCGAGGGCCACTTCTATTTATAGCCCCAAGGGCTAAACTAGCCGTTACCCCTTCACTGGGCAACGGTCGGGCCGACCGGACGCTCCGGTCGTGTTGACCGGACGCTAGACCTCAGCGTCCGGTCACCCGCAGACGGCCACGTGTCTTGATTCCAACGGTCACTTGACTTGACCGGACGCAGCAGCTTTCAACTGACCGAACGTTGAATCCCCAGCGTCCGGTCGTTTCCAGTAAGGTACCGACCTCGACCGGACGCGTCCGGTCACACTCTAGCTTCTGCGTCATCGTACGTCAGCCTGACTTGACGTAGCCTGCCAGCGTCCGGTGCATTCAGATCCAGCGTCCAGTCAGTTGACCGACGCCAGCATCTTCGCGACTAACTTGTTTTCACTTCTAACTTTATCACCCTTGCTCCAATGTGCTAACCACAAGAACTTGCATCCGGCGCAATAGAAAATAGGCATTCTATTTTCCCGAAAGCGCTGAATCCACCAAGGATGAAAGCGCAATAGAGAGGGACCCAAACCCATCTCACCCCTGCAAACACCACCTCCTTTGTAAATGTGCCAACACCACCAAGTGTACACCACCATGTGTATGTGTGTTAGCATTTTCACAATCATTTCCCAAAGGATGTTAGCCACTCAACTTGCCACGCCACTCGATCCTAGCGACAATGCAAAGTTAGATCACTCGAGTGGCACTAGATGACCGATATGCAAACAAGTTTGCCCCTCTTGATAGTACGGCCATCTATCCTAAACCCGATCATAAACTTCTCTACACACCTATGACCGGTGAAATGAAATGCCCTAGGTTATACCTTTTCCTTGCACATTCCATTCCATCTCCTTCAATGTTGATGCAACACATGCACCAACATGATCAACAATGATATGATCCACTTCATATCATCACATGATCATATTGGTTCATCGATCTTGACTCTACTTGCTCTTCACCATTGCTATCGTCCATCGGCGCCAAGTCTTGCTCAAGCTTCACCGCCACGCGGTCCATCACTCCAAAGCCTTTGACTTGCCCTTCACGCTTGCAACCGGTCCATCAAGCCAAGTCTTGTCTTGATCTTCT